GGGATCCCTTCGAGCGGCTGATCTCTGCCTTCAAGGACAAGTTTGTGAAGAACCCCCGCTTCGAGCCGTGGTACAAGCACGACATAGCTCCGGCCATTATATGGAAATATCGCAAGATTCACCGCAACAACGACCTCGTCGCCTCCGGTCTCCACTTCGAAGACTTTGTTCGCTACCTCGGCGATGTGGAAGGCCACCGGCGTATGGACCGGCAGTTTGGCGAGCACATCATCCACTGGGTGACGTACGCAGAGCTGTGTGCGCCGTGCAAAATAAACTACAGCGTGGTCGGCCACCACGAGACGCTGGAACAGGATGCCCCGTACATCCTCAAAGCGGCAGGCATCGACACACTGGTGACCTACCCTGCCATTCCTCCAGGCATCACACGCTATAACAGGACCAAGGTGGAGCACTACTTCTCAGGCATCAGCAAGCGAGACGTCAGGCGTCTCTACGCACGCTATCAGGGCGATTTCCGTCTGTTCGGCTACCCAAGCCCAGACTTTCTACTGAACTAAGGCAATTAACACTGACTAAAAGAGATGTTTGTTTTTTAAATATATAAACCAGCTTTGATTTGCTGGGAGTGAGTTGGACTGTAATTAACAGAGTTAGTTCTTTCTCATGAATGCAAACTGCTGCCTAATATTAAGACGTTTAACAGCGTGTTTGTGCAGATAGAAAATGTAACCGATGAGCAAACGTAGGTGCAGGACGGGGTGTGAGAAGTCGCCATAATGACACTGAGCAGTGAATAACCACAGATTCTATTAGGTTTTTGTCGGTGATGCTGAGGGGGAGCGTCAGCATTAAGGTCAAATGTATGGTACACATCAAGTGGAGAACACGTTTGTAATATTTATGATTAATTTGTTCTCTGTAATTTTTTTATATGTAATGCCAGGGATGCAGGACGGGAAACCCTGTAATGTAGCTGTTATGTATGGATCGCCTGTTTCATTAATGGATGTTGCCATATGCTTCAGACGGCGTCCTTTTCAGTACCTCTTCCTGTAATGCCAGATACAGGCGCAGTAGACCGCGTGTGTCCGGGAGCACAAAGATGTGAATATAAATCAAATGATGAGACAGTCGTGTTCTTGTGGATTTCAGAATTTCCTTTTTTTACATTTTGAAACCTTTTTTGTTTAAACGCTTGGTTTTTCACTTATCATAATGTGGAATCAAAATGAAGCCCTGGACTGTGTTGTGCCAACTACTCCAGTTTTCAGCCTTTACACTACACCTGATGTATATTTAGCTGTTAATGCTTTCGGGTCGTTGAAGAAAACTGGCACTGGATTTTTAAAAAGGCTCTTTTTTTCAATTAGAAATGTACTATGTAAATGTCCTTGTCTTTGGAATTCAACATTTCTATTACGTGTTGCTATTTATAATATTATTAACCTGCCGAGTAGTGGCACAAGAGGTGTCCCAGTTGTAAAAAACAAACAAACACTGCTGCGTCTCTGCAACCTCTGGGTGACCTTTTGGACAGATGGTTGTGTTACAAAGATGACATGGCTTGTAATAAACTTGCTGGTCAGTTGTGTGTTTGTTTTCTTAAATATTGCTCAGGTGTGCATTTTACTATTATAATAGATGATTATTTTGGGGGGGTCACCACAAGCTGATCCACTCCCTCCATCTCACCAACCCTGTTCATGTCCTCCTTCGCTGCATTCCTGAATCTTCTCTCCTGCTCTGAAGCTGATGTCGCTGCAATAATGTCAAACATCCACAGGGGGGGGCAGCAGTGTATTTAAAAGTGAGTGCTTGGTGAAAGAAGCCACAAACCTCCTTGAACCCTTTGAACTTAAATGTCAGCACGCCAGTCTGTTGAATTGACATTTAAGCAGAGGGCTTTAAGGGCAAAACAAATACTTCATAGCTGTATGCAAGCATCAAAGAGGCTCAGGGCAAGGACAGGAGTTTGCATCGTCAGTGTCAAATATCCAAGCTCACACTGTGCAAGGTGGATTTAAGTTGATTTACACAGAGCATAAGCTTCAGTTAAGTGTATTAACCCCGAGTGCCTCAAAGCTTTGTGGCTCGCGTGTTTGTTATATGTTTGTCTGCCAGGTTATCTCTCCCTCGTGCTGTCCGACTGGTTGGTCCTGTCCTGTCGTTCCACCATGGAGATAAAGTTTGTTTGAGCAACAGATGAACGCTCCATTGTGCAGCTGTGACAAGTAACAGCAGCTGCTGGTGTTCACGCAGAGATCCAGGGTTGTAAAAGTCCTCAGGAGTGTCGCTGTGTGTATGTGGGTTTTTTTTTAATATGATCTGTTTATTTAGCACTGCTGCAGTTTAAGTGTGGACCATATGAATCACATTCGTTCATATGGACAGCAGAGGTTAACCTAAATCAGTGAAGTGACTGCAGGTTTGCTTACACTCCTTTGACCAGTGAGTAGCCTTTTGGTTGATCTTCATTATTTGGCTGTACAGTCTATCATTATTTCACCTTAGAAGCCAGTGTTGTGCATGCAGGCTCCAGTCATGGTGAAATTAAGCTGTTTTATTACAGGCTGCTCCCCGGAGTGCACTTAGGTGCTGCACACGCACACAGCAGTAGCATCACTCCCGAGATTGCTCACTTGCCACACCCATGATTACCAATATTGACACTGAAGTCTCAGGCGCGCATGTCCATATGGATGCTGTGGTGGGGGCTCTGCTCCCCTGCCTGTCTCTGTTTATACCACCTGTCCTTCTGCTCATGCGGCAGAGCGGCATAAACACCGGGCCTGCAGGCTGATGGCGGTTAGCTGGAGGGGTGGGGGGGGAGTTCATTTAATATCACCTCGGTGGTCACGCTTGATGCACCGAGAGCCCAGCCCTGTTTGTCTATGTGCAGCCGACCGGCTTCCTGTGTCTGTGCGGCTCTCCGGCAAAGCTGGGAGAGCAGCGAGCAGAAGAGCAGCGGAAGTGTGGGTGACTGACTTTCAAGTTAAAGTGTAGCATTACACCCTTGGAAAGCAGGTCGATATGTGATCATTCATCACGTGTTTACTTCCAGGAACCAGTTTAAGAGGTTTTATAATGAGCATTGCCTTAGCAAACATTACACAACTGTGTGAAAGTCTTGAGCCAGCCTCTCATTTCCTCATGTTTTGCTAGAAAAATTAAAAACTTGATGCAGTTATCTATTGAAACATGCGCAAGCGTACTGGTGAAACTGTTAAAACTCCAATTTCTGCAAGTGCAAACGTTTAACTATGCGTTTAATCAATTAAATACCTTATTATAAGACAAAGAAGAGCAACCTTAACACTATTTCTCAGTTTTTTACAGCATGACTCTTTGGGTGTAAATTGAGACAAGAAATGTGTAAAATTATAGACATTTGTCATTTAATGAAGTTAGTAGATTGTGAATGGCAATGAGGGAGGTTTTGACATGTAGGAAAAGCAGCAAAAGTCCTAAATGCCCACCCTTTTCAAAAGAAATCCAGTGGGCCAAATTGGGGTCTTTGCCTGGCTGATTTTGGCCCCTGGGCCTTATGTTTGAAATCCCTGCAGTAGATGGATCAAGGAGGGCCAGATGCATCCAGTGTCAGGTCTTTGCTGAATTTTCTCCCCCATTTCTTAATGAAACAACTTTCAGATACTGATCACCTTCTGTAGATATATAAATATATATATTTTAACCCTGCCATGTTCTCTGCCGCCATCCACTTTGTCCAGTTTCCTCCAAGTTTTAATTACACACTTCACACTATGCAGAGATATGCCAACTTTTTGGCTAATAGCTCATACTCTGCTATCTATCATTGGTATTTTGTCATGATTCAACAAAAAAAAAGTGAATAAATGATGTGTTTTTGTGACAGGCTGCTAGCAACAAAGTGCCTGAAGATACAATTTAAAATGCGTGCTTTGCCATTTGTCTGTTGTGCGTAGACACAACGCTGGTTCATTTCCGGAGTTAGGTCAGTGTTAAGTTGCCAACATAACAACAAACATATTCTTCCTCTGAAAATGTTTCAGTACAAGGACTGGATTGAAAGTGAGTGAGAAAAGCAGCCAGTGTCCAAAGAAACACATTGAAGACCTTCAGGAAACCCAGAGAACTGTTGCATAAGACCACTTTAAAAATTATAAGCTCGCCCGGCTCTTTGGAAGCACAATGTGTTAAAATAAGTGATGAGTCAAGACTTTTGCACAGTACTATGTCTCGATAAAGTAAAAAGGTTTAGCAAGTTAAAAAGGGCCATAAAAGAAGGGGTTAATACCCTTTTTTTCTAACTCTAAAATAAAATGAAAGTTTTTAATGAACAAAAATATACAAACAAAATGTAAAAACAAATGAGTTATGAACCATTATCGTAGATCATGCTATTAATTCTCTCAGTTGAAAAAATGAAACCATAATTACGTGATTACGAGGCTCTGCTCACTCAGCACTTTTTCCTTTGATACTGTGCACTCATGTTTTTACACAGTGTGTTTACACTGTGGTATCACTGCGTCCACTTACACTAAAATCTTTAATATTTCCTCCTCCGGTGGTTAAGGTCTTATGAGAATGCATAAGCCATAAGGTCATGTGAAAGAAGAAAAATATCAATTTGCTTCCTTTCTCACTGTAATGTGTGGTTTCCTGTCTTTATCTAAGCCACTGTGTTTTGAATTATTATAGTTTTGGTTTTTAGCTTACACAAATGCTCTCAGTGGCACCTACAAAGTAAGCTAAGTAAGGGTTAAGGATTATTTGGCTGTTTATTTACACTTTCTGATCATGCACGTTATTTTCTTTCAATCAAAGAGCGTTTTTTTCTTCTGAATTTATTTTATTCAGAAATATATACTACAGCATAATGTCCACCATTGTATCTTAATATTTGTATGTGCATTCCAAATTTTATTTTAAATATTTTTCAAAAAGAAAAAAAAAGTAGAATTCTCAAAACGATTTTAAAAGTGGTTTTATTTTTGAAAGCGCTCGCCGGAAGTAAGAGTTACCAGTCAAATTTGACTCCAGTGGCAGTGACTGAGAGAGGAGAGCGAGCAGGAGTCCGCTGCTGCCACCTCAACATGGAGTAACGAGAGCTCAGCGCTTACTGCTAAGGAGCGGATCCCAGAGAGAGGAGACCCCGGCGGCCTCTGCTGTAATTTATCCCCCGAAGTCCCCGCAAATGATTCAGCGGACACTTTTTGCGAAGGCGAAGGAAAGCTCGGCTTTTATTTGAAAGATGGCGAACGACTCTCCAGCTAAAAGTCTAGTAGACATAGACTTGGCTTCATTGCGGGTGAGTGCTGCTGAACCGAGCCGTTGTTTTTTTTTAAATGTTTTAAATTTATATATATGTATTTCCTCTTCAGTTTGCTTTAATTTTTATTCAACCCTCCGTCGTTCAGTGTGACTTGTAGTAGCAGCAAGTTTGAGCCTGCTCTCCTTGTTAGAGATGAAGTATTGAAAATGACCGCTGAGCCATAGCGAGGTGTTGCCAGTGTCTGCTTTTCCTTTGTTCGAGATGCGTTTGGCATGTAGGGGAGACCAGGACGCAACAGCTGGCTCACAGTGCACAATGTTGCTTGGACGATTTTATTTTTTAAATGACATTACTTTAAATTTAAACACCTTTCTGCCTTTTTTCCCTCTTTCCAGGATCCAGCTGGGATATTCGAGCTGGTGGAGGTAGTTGGAAATGGCACCTATGGACAAGTATACAAGGTTGGTTGGAGGCGCAGTGCATGGCCTGTCCTGTTTTCACAGTGGAGGCTCGGCACTATGCTTTTTTTTTCTCCCCCCTTTCTTATCAAACCAGGGAACAAAGAAAGTGGCATTAAGCACGCATGGGTTCTAGATGCTATTGCACCACATTGTGGACAGTTAATATGGTAGAAAGTCTTTCTAGTTCATTAGTGTGATTAGAGTCTGGTGTTATTGTTAACTGTTCAGCTGGGAAGTAGGGGTGTGAGTGAGTGAGTCAATCTGCTCTGATGCATCACCTGCCTTTCTAAAATGTAGGTGGGGGAGAGGCAAGCGTGGAGAGTGTCACAATCCTCATGGCCTGCCTCTAGTCTGCAGCACCTTCATTTTTTTCCCTTCTTCTAAATAAAAAAAAAACCCCCAACCAAATAACATATCCCGTTCAAATCTGGACTTTCTTCCAGTTCAGTGGATGGGAATCCCTCTCTGTGGACCATCTGCTTTGGTTTCGCATTTCCCTGCTGAAAATTAACATTGCTGCTGTTGACAGACATCTCCAAGGAGGGACAGCGAGACTCAGAAGACACAGATGTGTGTTTTTTAGTGGCCTGTGCTGCAGCACGGCACCCTTCATGTGCTGTTGTAGTTGCAGCTGGTTAATCAGATCCATTAGCATTACGCAGACTACCAAAAAAATCACTTTCCTCATGCACTAAGCTGAGTATTTCATTCTGACAGCCCACAGTGCTCCACTGACCTGCATTCAATCTCCTAGCACGCTCCACTCCCAGGATCGCCCCCGCCTCAGCTCGCAGAGCAGATCCATCTGTGTGCATGTTAAGCCACACCTGAAAGCACCCCTGTGCAGTGTAAAAGGAAGTGTGATGCATGTGTGCTGTCTTCCCACCAGACTGCTTCGAGCTTGACCTATGAGATGGAGAATTTGTGCGTCTCCCTCTTCTTTTATTATTATTTTTTTGGGTCCTCTTTAATCTCTTGCTCCATTCAGTGTCCAGTACTAATTCTATTTCAGAGAGCTGCTCTGTAGGGGAATGGAGAGCGTGTACAAGAGAGGGCTGTCAGATTAGCTCGCGGTCGGCACACAGGCGCAGGGGCCTGCACAAGATAAGCCAAACTGCCTATTAGCGAAAGCATGGCTAATGCTGGAGCTCTACTGCTGCAGCTTCCTGTTGATCAGCTGTCGATCAGCGGCCTGGCTGTCATGTTAAAACGGCACAAGCATGTGGCCTCTGAGCATGTGCAGTGGGACTGAGGCGCTAGAGGAGGAGGAGGTGGTGGAGGGTGTAACTGGTAGAAGAGCAGCTGTCCAATTCCAGACAGAACCTGCTCACCGCTCTCACAAAGCTTAGCTTGTCCCCTCGCTCTTTTTGGGTCTCCCAGTCAGTCAGATCCACAGAAAGGAGGTGTTTGTCTGTAGGGTTTCAAAGTCAGACCCACTGAATAATCACAGCAGCCCCCAAGTGAAAACAGGGTGGAGATTCTTCTCCCTCTGAGGCCTTTGCTGCTTTGTCCAGCACTTGGTCACAGTGTGCAAGCGCACCCCCCCCCTCTTTTTTTTTCTTTTTTCTTTGTGTTATCTTATGGAAAAAAAAAATGTGACTAAGCTTCTTTACTCTGATTTTGTGGTGACTTTTAATTCCTTTGAGAGCTTTGCTTTTGTGGTTTTTGTTCCTTTTTAGGCAGATTATTGGGAGTAGAATGTCTGCTCTCCATTAAAAGTTGGTGTCAAGCGTATCCATGCATATTTTGCATTCATATCAGTCTTCTGACAACCTTACAATAAAGTGATCGTGACAGTATCCACTCTAATCACCGAGTCCTGTCTGATATTGATATCTGATATGTCATTTTAGAGCACAGAAAGGAGGAGGGACTAAAATGATTTGTTTTAGTTTTTGCCAGATTTCGTGGTTTTCTAGTCTTCATTTTACCAATTTTAAATTTTTTGACATTTTTCAGGCTGGTGCTTGTGTTAAACGGGAAATTTGTTTGGAGTAATGTAGAAAGATTTTCATCACTGGAATGCATAAAATAAGTTATATGAGTGTGATACTGACACAAAGTCTTGTTTTGACCAATAGCATTTAAAATGTATGCATGGCACTTGTGCTGTGTCCTCCTACTTTCAGCTTTACGCTTTATCCTCAAAGATTAATGGAGCACGCTTTTTCTCTAAGACCCAAATTGCCATGTCAAGGTTCGTGTGGCCATGCTGCGTTGCAGTGCTCTTTGCCAAGAGGGCATCCGTTGCCACTGGAGAGATGCCAGATTACAGTTGCTTCTGAAAACACAGCACAGCAGTTTTTGACTGAAAGCCATAATGAAAATGACTTTATAGCTAAAAAAAAAAATAGAAACCTCTTTAATATTGCTTTGACCAACAAGCTGATTGGAATGAAAGCCTGGACCCCCAAACAGATTGAATGCACTTAATCTGACTTGATTCATACATTTTATAAATAATATAGTTGTGTACTTTAGCTGAAAGGCCAGCATATAAATTATAAATATTAGTCCAACCTGTTTGGTTTTATTTGGAGTTTAGAAGTTACAGAAAGATAAACTGTATAAAAAGATGGACCGTCTGTTACATCACCCCATTAGGGTTTGAAATTCAGTTTTAAAGCCTTTTGCTTAGGATTATTGCCTTTGTGTTTTGGTGCCAGAAATCACTATATTTGAATGTTTAGTGCTAAGCTATCAGCTGCTAGTAAGCTTGGCTAGCGAGAAATGGCTAGAAATTGAAGGGGGGAGGGGTCTCCCTTTTTCTGTGGACCTTTTATACAATCAACTGCACAGTGTTGTTGTTTTTTTTGTCAGACTATAGCACTACAAACACATACAAAATAAAGAAATTTATATATATTATTTTGCTGTACTGTATGCATGAGTAAAGCATGTAAAATGCATGTATGCTAGTCTGCTGAAGCCAAGGCGCTGCTCCGATTTCACTGTATGATGCCCAAGTATGGTGCCAATAAAGGAATCTTCATGTTATCTTATATCAGATAAAAAAAGCCCCAAAAGGCACAGACTCTACAGATAAACTAACTTAATTAACTTCTTCATACAATTCAAATGGTGAGTTGAAGTTAAATGTATTTATAGCTTTTGTTTAAATAAGAAAGCTGCTAATGTGTTGAGTTTCATGATGGGCATTTGTTAAGTTGTTTTTTCCCTATGAGGAACTTTGGTCTTTTAGAGACAGCCTCAAGTGGTCATTTAAGGTACTGCAGTTTTGCCACTTGAGTGCTGGATGTTGTAGCTTGTTCAGAAACCTTAAAATGAAGTCCTTGGTTTTGTTTAAATTCCCAACACAAATTAGCTTAAAACTGTGCTATTAGCCAGTTCTGGCATGTCTAAAGAGTGCTGTCGGTCATGACCCATCGTATAAGGTTTGTAGTGGATATCCAGTCATTGTGAAGGCAGTGTAGGTCTGTCACACCCAATTTATCATTAGTTATGTTAAAGCAATACACACTGCCCTTTGCAGTGCATGAAGAGAGTCTCACTGAGCTTTTCTCCCTCTTTATCAGTTGGCCCTGGACCAGCTGGCTTAGCAGACCTGCTTCTGGATATAAGTATTTAAAAAAGGGAGAGATAGTAGAGAAACTCAGAAAAAGACATGATTCTTCATATTGTGCATGGTATGTGGGAAAGATTCTCTCTGCTCTACGGAATGGCCATATATAGTCAGGTCTGAGGCTAGGGGCCCCTGCTGACTTGTCTGATGTGCATCCATGGGATGTGCCAAGGCTGTGCCACCAGTATTTTCACACCACCATGTTTCATGTGGGCAAAATCCATGTTGGATGTGGTGCAGCAACATCACTTGGTGACATCACCGTGATGGTCACGTGGCTGAATACTGGGGGGGGGGGGGAATCAAAGAATTGCAGGGATGATTTCATACTTGCATATGCACTGCATGAAACAGTCATTTCTAGTCCCTCACATTTCATTTAAGGGTATCATATACCGAGGGCTGATTTTTGTCCAGGAAGCTAATAAAAGACGTTAAGATTTTTGAGCCTCAGCAGTGCTGTCCTTTGTTTTCTCCCCTGACCTCTGGGTCAGCCTCACCCCCTTCCCTCAGAATAAGAATAAGAAGCAGTCCTCAGGGGGCTAGCTATGTGTGAAGGGTTGGAGCTGCTGCTGAGGAAGGAGGAGAACCTCTCATGGAGTCTTTCATTGTGTACCAGCCACAGGGGGAGACTGATGTTTACCTCGGGGCTAACCTGACTGGTTGTTAGTAATTAGTTTAAAGAAATGATGATGTGAAAGATTGGATTTGGTTACACTTGAGATGATTGAAGCAGCGACTATCAGGTCACCGTAGATGGATCACCCTGAAGTTAAATGGGAGCTCATCTGGCTTCAGGGTAGTCTTCATCAACCCCTGTGCTGCTGCCTTTACGGTAACCAGATTCACTAAGAGAGCAAGGCAGTTTGTCCAGCCTTATCATGACGAGTTCCCAGTGGTAATCCAGTATTAGTCTACCCAGTATCAGCAATATCAGTTTAATCTTTAAGACCTGGAAATTTGAATAAAAATTGTTTATTTAGCAAGATGTTACACAATTCTAAGTCAAATTCCAAGGATTTGGAAAAGCTATAAAATTTTATTATCTATTGAGCAGCTTGTAAATTTTTGTGAAAAATTGAAATTGCTTATGAAGAGAGAAATTATAAGACTGGTTAGCCCTTAAGTCCCAATTGTCATTTCCAGAAAATCCTTGTGATTATAATTTAATATGTAGGAATGCGGGCCTGCGGCTATTCTGCCAGTCACATTGAGTTAATGAATGTAGGACAAGTGATGGCTGATTTTCTTGCAGGCCTGTGGGTTCGATGCCATAGCTGGGCCTTGTGAGAGTGTCTAATTGATAAGTGCCATATAGGGCTCTGTGGTAAAGGTCCTGAGAGCTCGGCTGCTGATTGGCCGTGCAGCGGTTAGGTCAGAATCGGTGGGCGTTGAAGGCCCTGCGTGATGACTGAAA